ATGTTCTGTCTTAAAAATGACAGTCTTGTGCTTGCTTCAAGGATATTTGCAATTCTCGTACTTGTGTTAGATGTTAGATTAGATAATTCTAACACTCCCATCTGAATTTGCAGTCAATGCCTTTATAAAAATTCAGAGTGTTTAACAAAGAATTTGTTTGTACTGGTCTAATACAAATGTGTCACTGAAAACAAAGCTTGATTTTTAACTGTTTCCCATATGGCTAAAGTCAGTTACATTTTCCTACTACTGACAAATTGTAATTTTTGTTATTTTTGATTAACACAATCCTTTACCTTATTCACAAGATTATACTAAGGCTTATATTCAGTCAAGACAGCATATTGGTGTATCCAAATCAGATTAGTCCAAAACAACTTGGACTAAAAATAAATTAACTTCTGTGTCTAGTTCAAGCTCCTTGTCCTTTTCTATAAACAATGTAACATTTAAAACCTCAAAAAATGGTTATGCACCACTGTAGCGTTTTTTCCACTCTCTAGTGAGGAAAATTACTTCTAAGTAGCAAAATGGTAAGTGAGGTCAGTGCAGGTAAGAGCTATTCCTTTTCCATCTGCCCTCTAAAAATAAAATAAAAAGCTACCCGGAAAATCACGCACCGTCTTCCACTTATTCTGCAAATTGTATGGCGGACGGGGTCTGTTTTCTCCTACTACTGTGCTCTTGTGTGAGAGCTGGACTCATGAGCAGTGGTCTGTTTTCCAAACCAGTGGCTCTTAATCAGTTACAGAAACTCCAGTAGACGTAGTTTCCTTTTTTTTTTTGGTCTACACTAGTGAGGCATCTGATGCAAATTGTCTCGCTTTTTATTAAGAACATCTGCGAATGCTCCACATTTCAGTTCATACGTTTCAGTGCGTGCTGAAGAAATCAGGACTAGGACTAAAGTCAGATTCTGGTGGACTTTGGCCTCAAGACTGAGGCGTCTCCACCATGGCTTCGGCATGAGGAGCTAGAATCTGCTTTCTGTTACGAAGATGTGAGTTTAGAATAATTTTGAAAAAATAAATGTCACTGACAGTCTGCAACAGCGAAACTGAGAATAGCATTTGCCTGCAAGTCTTTCAGACTGACTTTTTTCTTCCTCTCGGTGTTTTGGTAAGTGGATTCAGCACCCAATTATGTTGTGGCTGTGAGGATGGTAACTGAAACGGGTAATGGAAAAGGACTGTCATTTTTGGTTCGGTCTTTTTTGGTTCCCAGGAGTAAGAAAATCCTGAGCCTGATATATGGTGAATCACAGGCATTAGAGTAGGAAAACTCCCTTTAGGTCATATCCAGCCAGTCTCTCAGGGGATAATTCAGGATATTTTTATGTCCTGTTATATAGTAGGCTCTCTTTTAAAAATCTGCATCCATAAAGTTCCTGCCTTTTTGTTCAGATGGCCATTTATTAGTTGCTTGTAGTGCTTATAACTATAATCTTACCTTTTTTCTCACCCATCTCTAAAATATGAGGAAGTGCAAATACAGATTTGCAGGGACTTGCGAATGTGAAGGTTTTAATATCTACTACATAGCTTGCGCTTTGTATACACTAACATTAAAGCTGACTGTTCATTTACTTAGTTTCCTCTGATTATAATTTTTACTTCTAAATCAACCTACCCCCTATCCGCTAGACGTTTACAAGCTGATGTAACAGTTCCTCCCTTTTTCATCAGCACATCCTGTCCAAAGATTGTTTTTATTGCTCTCCTCTAGACTTCTTACAACTTGCCAACGCACTTAGGAAGAGATATGCAAGATCCCAGGCTGGACGCAGTAAATCCACATGGAGAAAGATTTCTATACCATTTTATCTCCCTTGTCTAACCTGTGGAGTATTTATATATATTCCACAATTTCCGTGGCAGGTCCTCTGAGTTGAAAATACCACGAGAGCATGAGAACTGAATTAATCCTTCTGTCAAACTGCAACAGTAGCAAGTGAAAACAAAATGATCGGTCCCTTTTTCTCCAGTGATTGCCTGAAGAATCCCTCTGTTGCTGATCCGTTAATCTCTTTCAGTGGATCATGCTGAATGTGTTATCTTTGCTGATTAGAAAAATGTGTGCTTCATGTAATTTGTCTGGAATTGTCAATGTCTAATCGTCACTCCTAGTCTTAGCATTTCACCATACTCAGTATTTTTTTGTGATGTAATTACTTGTTGCAGGTTGTTTCACAACGACAGATGGATTCATTCAATCTATTTCATTTGCAAATGTTTAGTTCCGTAGCCAGATTCCTTATTTTAATGCAAAAAAGCTAAAAGTCCAATTCTGCTACATTTCAGTAGCAAGTTACAAGTCTTTGGATTTCTTTGCGCTAAGCCCATATTTAAGCTATATTAATTCCATTTGATCTTACACGTTTAACTGAGACTAAATTCAGATTTTAGGTTTCCTGGGATTTCTTTAGATCTCTTAAAGCAATAGAAACATTTCCAAAAGTTGGTCGGTCCACGTAAAATCGGTGCAGGTTTTCCTCTGTTTGCTAGGCTGGAGTCTGCAGCAGTTTCACAGCTCTCTCAGGAAAGCTGAGTCGTTTCTGCAGAGGGACGAGACCTCCGAGAAAAGAGTGAAGCAAAGAAGTGGGCAGGGCCGGTTATAGCAGTCATGAGTGAGAAGGTCCCTGTCTTTGGGTCTGAGTTTTTGGCCTAAATGTCGCATTAAAATTGCAGGTGGAAAATCTTTTGATGCTGAACTGCTCTTTCCAAAACTTATGTTAAAAGTAGAAACAGTTGTTCCTCATATGTATACCAGATCATGGAAAAGACTAACAGCAACAGAAGGGATTGCATTCTCATCTGAAAAATGTAAAAGATAGTATTACTTTTATTATTATGATTAATAATGATAATAATAATAACAATGCCATTAATAATATATAGCATTTATGTGTTATTTCCTAGGAATAGATCTGTGCTTTGCAAAAGAGGCAAGTATCATTCCCATTTTACAGAGGGGGTAACAGATGAACACAAGTCAAAGTATTTATCCCAATAAGTCCTCCAGTAAGCTAGTGGCTGAATGGGAAAAAAAATTGAATCTCTCATTCTCGAGTTAGTATGATACTGGCCGAGGAATTCTCCCATCCTTCTGAAGTGCTTTTTTTAAACCACTTTAGGTATGTGCTGTTGCACATGAGGTAATGGAAGTATTCAAGGTTACACTTGAACCTTGACCCTGATTCTTCGTCTTCACTGATTCTACCCTTCTTTTAACCTGTCCTGCTATGGTAGTTAAATCTCCTGCCATCAGACTTCCCAAACTCACCCTACTCTGATTCTTGACAATGTCCAAGTCTCTGCCTGAGCTGCCAGCATTTCAAGAGACTGATGCTTTTTAGTTTTTGCATTTCTGAAAATGAAGGGAGAACGTAGCATGAACAAAGAAGTTAGGCTCATTTTTCATACTTAACTTCAAAAAATGGGAGAAACATAAATAAACATAATTTATTCCTTAAAATTCCACAGATGGGAAAAATTATCTCTGGTCCTTTTGATGAAACCTGCACACTCTGTGCTATATCAAGACCGGCTTGAATTACTAAATTCAGCACACACGCTCTGTCTTCTGGCACCTCACCTGTTTATTTGCCCTGTGAAACGTCCTTCCTATAACCTTCTTCGCTGGGAGATATGTCTGCTAAACAAGCACCTTTCCCAGTCAGATGGACTGGATTCAAGCCAGGCTGTTGATGGGGTTGCAGAGGGGGAGGA